TTTTTTTTTTTTTTTGTATTTCTAATTTCGTCTTACTTGTATTGGTTGCGCTTGACACATGTTGTATTCGTTGCGCAAAATTAAACAATAGCTATGAATAGTAATTAGGCAAACTATAATTACTAAGGTAATAATTAGGCTCTAAACTGTAGTGTTTTATGAAAATTATATAAAATATATATATATATATATATATATATATATATTAAATAATTTTACTTTAAACTTTTTAATTTATCTTAGTGAGAAATTTTTATAACCACATAAATATTATGAACAAAAAATACGTTGTCTTGCATTTTGTCACATTTTCTTATTTTAAGTTAATGTTTCTGTTGTCTTTTTATTGTTCAAATTAGTTTTAACAACACAACACTCTCTTTGGAATTATTGACTGTCATATTCAAGATAAGTCTAGCATATGAAGTAGCAACATTTTTTTTTTTTTTTTTCAAGTAAATGATTTTATTTACCAAGTAAATATTTACGGCTCGAGACAAACAAAAATGGAGGCCACACCAGTTGAATTCGCTAGTGCGCCTAATACATTGTAAGAGCATGTCGTTAAAGATAAAATGAGAAGTTTGAAGTTAATTTTTTTTAATATACGTAATAATATTTCTTTTGGACAAGTTAAAAAAATATCATATAATATAAAAAGATAAAAGTATAAATTATTGAATATTTCAACATGGTGACAAGTATTAAAAACGATCATTAGAATATCTATACTATATTAAAAGTACGAAGGCCCTTAGCGAAATGTCGTTCGCCTTTTTTACCCTCTAAAACTTGATTTCATACTAGACAAATTAGTTTTTATTTAATAAATAAAAGGCGAAATGTCGTTCGCCTTTTTTACCCTCTAAAACTTGATTTCATACTAGACAAATTAGTCATTTCATTATTTCTCCTAATTTTTTTAGGACTTTAAAATCACCTAAAATTTTTCTTATTATATCTTTCCTTAATTCTTTTTTGAAGTATATATGTAAAAAGTCATAATATTTGGCAACATGTAACACGTTAATTATCAAACCTAACGTGAGTAATTTTCCATCCAAAGAAAAGCTACATTTCCATTGCTAGATATCCTTCGACAAATATAAGAAGTATAAAAAGAAATCAAGAAAATTAATTTACACTCAAAATAATCATTTAATTATTTTTCTAACTTTTAGGAAAGCTGAAATTTTACTTATTATATTTTTTTATTTGAACTATGTAAAAATCTTAATATATAGAATTATATGACGTGTAATATATTTATTAAATAAAAACTAACATGAGTATTGGCCATTCAAAGCAAAGCTAAATTTCCATTGTGATATCCTTCCATTGTGATATTACCATGGTTTAAGTTATCGTTTCTCTTTTACTATAATTCAAGGGTCTAAAAAAATAACTTTATCAATTAAAATTTGAATGATTATAATAAAATAACAATATTGGGTTTCTACCTTATTTTTTTTGACCTTTATTTTATATGACCATTCGATTAAAATTTTCGTATAATAACCTACATACAAAGTCTTTTTTTTCTTTTTATAACCATTCTAATAAATGACAGCTTCCTATATTTATGTTATTTTTTATAAAGTATTAACTCTAATATTATAGTATTTTTTTAAGATTTTATATTATTATTTATTTATCGAGCTAACAGGCTAAAAATGATCAATGTTCATCATATTTAAGAATTTATACTTTTCATTTTATTTTATTCAATAACTCACATTATTTAATATTTTTTGTATTTTTAAAAAATTATATATTCATTGATATAAGGTACACGCGCAAAGCGCGTACTCTAATACTAGTTCATTAAAAAACATTAAAATGGTTAGGCTCATTATTCGAAAAGAAACTTATGGAGCAGATGTAAAATATAAAATTGATGTTACAGTTTCATTGCAGAGCAGAGTGAGATAAAAAGAAGAAGAAAAATGTAAGCTTTATTTTTTTCGGATAAAAAGTTATATGACATATACAGATAGCTAAATAATTTGATTACTTTATCGTGACAATACCCAAAGCTGCTATTGATTAGTATTCTTTCTTTTAGTAATGCAATTTATTTCTTTTTATTCATATTTGCTCTCCAAAAGCTAGATATTTATATTATTTGCTTGTGAATGACTAATACTTTATTTAGTAACGAACATCAGAAATATAAACACGTTAGATAATTCAAAATAATCGTTATATATTACTCCTGTTTGGTAAAAATAAATTTGCTCTTTATCTTTTCTATTTAAGTATTGTTGTCAATATTTTTTGTTTAGTACCTATGTTGGAACTCTGAATAATCCGAATTCGAGTTGCGTAAGGCTCATCAAAAGGAGGAAGCCCTCCATACAAAATAAAATTTTATTTTCAGAGCTCGAACCCAAGTTTTTTGGTTAAAAATGAAGAGATCATATCCGTACCCCATGGTTGAAAATCTCTAATACCTATCATTTATACTAATAGTAGGTCTTCAAAACTTTCAAATGATCAGTGGTGATTTAATGTGTGTCTCATGTTTTGCTGGGAATATTGATCAACCATTTATTTGATCTTGCAGCATGTGATCTCGATAGAGAACATGCGGATTTAGGATTTAATGTTTATGAATTCCTGCAACGACCTCGAATAAATTTTCAATAGTAATTGGGTTCACATTCAAACATTTATAGATATTTAAGGAATTTTTCGAACATATTTACATGGTTTGGACAAAAGCTACTGGGTTCACGTGAACCCGTAAGTCGTCTCCGCCCCTGGAGAACATGACAATTAGTTAGCCTTAATTAAGTCTCCTTTGGAAGGAAAATAAGGTGAAATTATTTTTTTGGCCAAAATGTTCTTCCAATTTCAAATTAAGTTAGTTTGATAGCGTTTTCCCATATAAAAAAAGTTTATATCAAAACTTTGAAATTATTTTCCAAGTTCATGGAATTCTCCAAAAACTTGAATTTCTTTCGGAACTTTGAAAAAAAGATTATTTTATATTAAAAATAACACTTTATTTCAGCCTATGCCATCTTGTAGGCCCAAATGGATGCACTATCCCATGATTAGGTTTGGGAGGCCATCCCTTGACACAGAGCTATAGGTTCAAATGAATTCCATGACTTTCGCTTATATCTTATATTTTTATTCAAAAAATTATTACGTATGTATAAATAATAAATTTCGAACCCATTAAATTAGATAAGATGTGGTAGAATTGCGAGTTTGAGTCCATAAAGTGTAAATCTTGGATTCACTTCTGCTCTGCAGAATGACTTTAGGGACGGAGTTGGAAGTTTTTATACATATTCGATCGAATTCAATAACTTTTGCTCATACAATATATTTATGTTAAAAAATCATTAGATACATATACATTAAATTTAGAACCCAATATTAACACTTGAACAAATCTAGAACCTATAAAATTAAAATTTTGACTTCGCCTCTTAATTACGTATTTCCATTAAATAACTATCCTCTCCACTAAAACACATCTGAAGAAAAATATAGAATTACAAGCTTTAATTACTTTGCATGACATTTTACGTGTGATTCTTAAATGGTGATCTACTCATAGTCACTACCTCCCTTTAGGGCTCAAGCATCAATTAAAATATTCAATATGCCGCCTATTTTATTTTATATAACACTATTTTTTTATTTTATTACAGAAAAACACTTATTCATATTTTAAAGCTTTTTAACTTTAAATTTTCGATTTTACTCTTAATTACGTGTTGTTATAGTCATAAAATGTTATGTAATCTTTTAAATCATAGATTTTAAGCAGAGGCAGACAGTTTATAATATTTTACGGTTTGGATATTTGTGGTCTTAACACTAAACCTATTACACAAAGTATGAGTTCAAAGTTTAATATTTATTGAAATTACTGTCTTTTTTCACATATATATTCGGGGCGTATCGAAAATGTTGGGTTCAGTTGAACCAAATTGTGTACTCTCCATCCATCACTGATTTAACTGTACTTGATATATGTTGAAGTTTGGCAAAATGCCAAAGTCCCACATTGGTTAGGAGTTAAGTTTGGGGGGGATTTTTCCCCTATAAAAGAAGGCCTAATGTTTAGGATTGAAACA